ATTCTTCCACCCCTCCTCCAATGAGCTTTCCCCCTTCTCTCCCAAGCCTGGTCCTCTGCCCAGTGCTGAGCACTATTCTCAATGTGGGAATATGTGTTTCTCAAATTAATGGGGGCCACATTGTACATATTTTCTTCTTTCACTTAAAATATATAGATTGAAGGTCTTTCTGTGTCCACATACATATAGCTCACTCTTTTTAATGGTTTCTTTGTATTTCATACAATAGCTAAACCTTAATTTACTTATCTTCCTATTAATGAATGAATTCAGTTATTTCAAATTTTTTTCCTGTTATTGTAGTAACAATTCCATTGAACATATATCTTTGTGTCCAATCTTCATGTCTGCATCAATGAGTATGAAGATATTAATTAAGTTATCCTCAAAAATGTTATTCCAATGTGATTCCTAGCCACCATTCATATGAAGGCTTGTTTTCTCCTCCTTTATCAGCTCTGGATATGCTCTCTGTTTTATTTTTTGTCTATCTGCAGGAGGAAGAAAGAGTAAAAAGAATATGTCATCATGTTTGCCATGTTTTCAATTAGCATTTCTTCCATGTGGATGCCTCTTTTCATAGGTTTATTAGCCATTTGTATTTATTATTTTGTGAATTATCTCATCCTTTGCCCCTTTTCCTGGTGGATTCCCTGTTTCTTTTTGATTTATGAGAGTTTAGGATAAGATACGATGATTATTATATATATATACCACATCTTTTGTAGTCTTTTTTAATAGATTTTTTTAAAGAGCAGGTCTAGGTTTACAGAAAAATTGATCAGAAAGTTGAGAGCTACCACAAATGCTCCACAACCCCACCCACTCCACCATCACAGATTTTCCTATTATTTACATCTTGAATTAGTGTGGCACATTTGACATAATTGATAAGCCAATATTAACACATGATTATTAACTAAAGTCTGTAGTTTACATTAGGGCTCATTCTTGGTGTTTTGTGTTGTGAGTCTTGACAGTGCATGATGATACATATCCATCATTAGAACCAAGTAGAATATTTTCACCAGCCTCAATATTCCTCATGCTCTGGCTCTTCATTCCTTTCTCCTCCCCTCCCTACAAGCCCCTGGCAACCACTGATCTTTTTCTGTCTCCATAGTTTAGCTTTTCTAGAATGTCTCGTAGTTGGAATGTTAGAGAATGCAGCCTTTCACATTGGCACATTTCACTTAGCAATGTGCTCCTAAGGTTCCTCCTGTCTTCTCCTGATTTGATGGCTCATTTCCTCTGCACCTGGTAATATCCATTGTTTGGATATTATGCAGTTTTTTAATCCATTCACCTAACAGAGTACATCTTGGTTGCTCCAAGTACAAATGGTTACGAACAAAGCTGCTATAAACATTCATGTGTAGGTTTTCGTGTGAACATAGGTTTTCAACTCATTTGGGTGTGTACCGAGGACCACAGTTTTGGACTGTATGGTAAAAACATGTTTATTTTTCAAAGACGCTGCCAGCCTGTCTTCCATGTGGCTATAGCGAGTTGCTTTCCCACCAGCAGTGAGTACGAGTTCCTGTTGCCAAGCATGTCATGTGCGAGTGTTTGGGACTTAACCCCTTCTAATAGGTGCATTGTGGTCCCTTTCTGTAGCTTTTGACTTGCTGTTCCCTATCGATGGATGAAGTTGAGTCAGTTGGGATCAGCAGATTCCAAAGGCTTACTGGGGATCTGTAGATCATCTTTGGAGAGGCATCTGCTCAGGTCTTTGGCCCATTTTTTAAGTGGGCTGCTTGTCTTTTATTATTAAGAGGTCTTTGTGTGTTTTGAATATGAACCCTTTATCAAATATGAGTTTTGCAAAGATATTTTGCTCAGTCTGTGGCTTGTCTTCTCGTCATTTTTGTTAACTTTTTTCATATAAAAGCATTAATTTTTCCATGATCAGATCTTTACATGATCAAAAATTCTCTGAATTTTGTCCCCTAGTTAGGGAAATCTCTATCTAAAAATTGTAAAATATTCTTCTACTTTCTTTATTGCTTTTGTAGCTCTGTGGTACATTGACATCTGTAAATCATTTGGAAATGTGTGTGTGTGTGTGTGTGTGTGTGTGTGTGTGTAGTGTAGTGTAAGATAAGAATCCAGTACCATAAAGAAAAGGAAAGAAACTGACACCTTTGGTTCCTTCCCCTCCTGGCTGGAGTAAGTGGAAGGTACCTAACTCTCTTGCCAGGCCAGGTCTGGTGCTCTTTGGTGGGGGAACCAGCAGCCTCCCTGGGGCTCTCGGACCTTCTTGCCAATGGGCTGCCCCGAGCTCCTCCTGCTGCCCCTCCACCATCCTCCATGGAGAACCGAGGTTCTGTCTACAGGCCTCTAGCCACCCCTGTTTCAGCCTCATCCTCTCTTGGGTCCCTTGTCCAGCTGCCCATGCTCCCATCAGTCAGCCCAGCAGGACATTTCCACCTGAGTTTTCTGCAGGTACTTCAGTCAAAGACTTAAGAAGGAAGGAGACCGACAGCCCCCTTTCCTTGCCCATCTCTCCTTCCCATACTTAGCTTCCTGGCACCTCTAGAGTTAGGAGTCCTGAGCATCTACAGCCTCCTTCCTTCCCTGACCGTGTCCCAATTCTCCTCCCACATCTGTCCATGCAGCTCTGCTCAGTTTATCTCTTTCCTTCCAGGGCACCTGTGTCAGATCTAGCTAGGATGTCCTTGCACGCTTGGGTAAAACCTCCCTGTGACCCCATGTTGAGTCTGACCCCACCTACCTCCTCGTCCTTCCTGGGTCCAGCCAAACACTGGAGCATCAGGCCCTGTGTCTCCCCACCAAACACCCCCAATGCCACTGTGTGCCGAGTCTCACACCCCGTCCTGCTCCTTCCAGCTCCAACATCTCGAAGGCACTGCCTGCCTCTCCTGTATTCCTATAGAGGTTTCTAGATGCCTCTGTTTTCCATGGGTTATCATCAGCACTTATGTGTGTGCTGTAGCATGGCTCTAGGGCACAGTCACATAATTATCCAATACATGTCTGTGTCTCTCCTTATTGGAGAACCTGTGGGTGTGGGGCCTCAGCATGTTCATTTGCAATGTTTCTCTCATAGACATTCAACAAATACAGTACCCGCTTCATCTACGTCAGCGCTGTCCAGAAGACAGAACATGAGCCACTTGCAAAACTAACATTCTTTAGCAGTCACATTAAAAGAAACAGATGAACCTAGGTGAGGGGCCAAGGTCTTAACCCAGCCTCTCCAGGAAATGTTCCTGACCCCCACCCTTACTGAAAATCCTTGTATGCTTGCTACATGACTTGCTCCCCCATTTGACCCCCATTTAATATTACCTGGGTGACTATACTTGTAATCTCATTGGTTGGTCATGGTTTTGCCCCACCTCATGCCCACCTTGTAAATTTCCATTGGGTCTTATAGTTTTGTCCCACTTTGTACCTGCCTCACCACATGGCTTTGCTGTATAAAACATCTCTGAAAAGTGGAGTGGGCGGGCAACCCACTTTCCAGTCCCCTTCTGTCTCTCTCAGGCAGAAGCTTTCTTTCTCCCAATAAATTTTTTCTACTCTTAAAAAAAAAACAGTGAAAATTAATTTATAAAGTACTTTTATTTATCCCAATATATCCAAAACTAGTCTTTCCCAACACTTAATAAATTTAAAAAATTCATGAGATATTTTATTTTACCTCTCTTTTGTCAGTACTGTCTTCAGAATCAGGTGTGTGTTTTGACCTCACAGCGAGTCTCAGTTCAGATCCTGCCCAGTGGCTCCCAGATGACCTCATGGGTCCTGGCAGTTGTTGGTTCTGGAGGTCAGTTTTCCCACTTATAAACTAGAAGCCTCTGGGATCATAATCTAGACCTCTGCCAATTCTAAAGAAAGGGCTCTGGGATTTTATGATGGGCCAGAGACATGTCATCTGCCAGAATGAGACTGTTCCTCCAGCATCCACCCAGCTGTCCCTGGCTACCTTCTGCCTGGGTCCCCCCCAGCACTGTGTGTGTGCCCTAGGTTTGAGGCCTCCCAAGGAAGGGCCAGACACAAAGATCCCACAGGCACAGATTTCAAAACTTAACTCCATGGCCATGACTTCACTAAGAGTAATACAAGAAAGAGAAACCAAGCTGGGTGTGGCAGTACACACCTATCATCCTAGCACTTGGGAGACTGAGGCAGGAGGATTGCCACAATTTCAAGGCCAGCCTGAACTGCACAATGAGTTCAAGGCCAATTTGAGAGGTTCATTATGAGACTTTGTCTCAAGAAAAAAAAGAGAGAGAGAGACAGAGAGGGAGAGAGAGAGAGAGAGAACAGCAATTTCAAAATAACATCCGAATTCCAAGAAGTTACAAAATAAAACTATGCCCTAGAGGTAAACATTTGTCACCCTTTTCTCTTCTCTCTCCCTCCAATCTTCTGTACACACACGACACTCACTTTATGGATGAAAAGATATAATTTTTTTTCCTGGGATTTGAATGAGTTGCAGGGGCCCATTTGCCCCTAAATAATAAAACAATTAAATAATTCATTGTTTTCTAGGAATAATGACAATCTTGCCCAACCCTCACGTGGTTGTCAGAATTTTAAAATAATATCATTACCACACAAAGTCAAATCTGCGGTCATTTAAATTTCACTCACTGTCACACCAGCATCCCCCTTCCCACCAAGGAACCCAACGCCTCCCGTCGGGGACAGTTCCTCAGCCTTCTCCTTTCCTGACCATCATTTTGAAAACCATGGGTCATAACCCTGTAGCATCTCTGCCAGTTTGGCTTCATCGGCTCCCTCTTCCCCTCTGCGGTGTGGGTTTTGGTGGGAAGCAGAGCGATGCTCTCCTCTGTCCCTCCCAGTGTGGGGACCTCCCAAATCCCTGGGGTTCACTGGGGCCACAGGGTCACAAAAATATGCTGTTTGCACCTTTTATCAAATTAGTGACACCTTGAGACTGTGGAAACATCTGTTCCCATCATTCTGTCCTCCCACTCGTGTTTGCAGCCACTGACAATTCTTACCTGACTCGGTCTCCACTGCAGTGTTTGCCAAGTGGCGGCTGCTCTGATTTTGCCATTCGTTCTGCATGTGCCTTCTCTCTGCCTTCTCCCTGCTCGTTCATGTCCATTGGTGTGGACTTCAGAGTTCTTGACACCTGGGCATGGGACCTGTTCACCTCATTTGTGTTTGGGGGAAATAAAACCAGGAATGGAGTAGTTAACTTTTCATGCTTGATTTTTAGAAACTATAAACCTACAATTATAAGGATGGCCAAGAAACTGAAAGAACAGTATGTAGTTTTTCATTATGTCTCTAAAACTCTGATGAAAAATATGAGCACGTTGATTTGAAAAGCCAATTATGAAAGGGAATTCATCGAAACACATATTTATTACTTATGTAATTATTTTAAACATATCTTAAACATGGTGTGTATGTTCTGTTCTAGTAAGTTATATTTCTATGGAGCATGTTTTATAAATTTGTTCTTAGTACATGTTTGTAGTATGTTACACATGAAACTTAGATGGTAGGTATGTGTGCCTGGTGTGCACTTACTTCTTTTTATTCCTCTTCCTCTCCCCTCTCTGGATCCCTTTCCCATTTGCAAACGATCTATCTCCCTGTTTCCTATTGCCTATCTTTTATTTTGTTTTTTAAATTTTTTTATACTTTGGGCTTCTCATATAAGAAAAGTTACGCTATATTTAAGCTTGTGGGCCTGATTTATCTCATTTAACAGTATGCACTTCTTAAACATAAATAAAGGACAGCTGATTGAATGGAAGGCAAAATGAAGCAGCCACTGCAGAGGGCTTGCTCAGGGCATGCATGAGGCTTGCTTGCTCCGCAGCCTCTTCCTCACAAAATGAAGGCCAAGCTCCTCTGTCCCTGCAGATGCCTGGGCTTCCATGTGCACAGATCCACTTCATCCAGAGCACACATCCACTTCCCACCCTACAGAAATCAGACAGGAAACAGTGGGGCTGTGAGGCTGAGTGGCTTCGAAGCCTGAGGCTGGCCTGTTTCTCCGCAGCCCAATTAAAGGGAAATGGTTTTGCTTTCTAAGAAGAGAGGAGCAGAGTAAAAGCAGAGGAGCTGAGAAGGGAAGCCAGGGCCTAAAAGCTTCCCTTTCCCTGCAGAACTAAATGACAGCCTCACTTCAGACTATTAGTCCAGAGCTCATACAGCAAATCAATATGAAGAGCTGGATGACTTCCAGGGCACTCGATTTAGCCTACAAACTCAATTAATGCAGCTCCTAACAAACCAAGATGTGCAAAGAATACCGCAGGTGAGATAGAAGGGAGACACTTAGAGCTCAGTCTCAGTCATACCTCTGCCAGTGCAGGCCACCATAAACACTGGCCAGAACTAGTCCATGCCAAGGTGGAATGAATGGGCAGTGACATCGTGAATGTGGGTCAACTCAGGAACTTCAACATAAGCAGTGCTCAAGCACATCCATCCACACCATGCTGCCTCAACACAAAACCAGCTTGCTCTGGCGAGTCAAGCAAACCTCAAACAGGGCAGGAAAAGATCCAAACTACTTGAGAGTTGAGATTCCTGGACCTCGGCCAGGGGTCCTCACATGTTCTCTGATGCCTGGTTCGGCCACCAGGGTTAGCAGGCTAGGAGACAGAGAACGAGCTCCACTGCAACGGCTTGCATTGAATTTGCCTCCCCTCAGCCAAAAAGCAATCAAGGCCTCAGTTCAATGATTTCCATAGATTTTTTTTTTAAATTTCCATGTAACATTTTAGTGTTTAGAACTTCATGAAGGCTTGTCACAATGTCTCCCTTACTTTTGCTGCTCTATAAAACTGCAGGCAAATTAATTTATTCAGACAGCACTGAATGGAGGAAAAAGCAGCCGCCGAGGAGAAACCTGCTGTTACTCCAAAGAAAGACTTTTCTTTTAATTAACCAAAAAAGTGTGTAAGTGATTTATTTAGTCTGTAACTCACGACAGAAAGACTTGAAGCATCTTGTGCAAACAGGATAGTTAAGAACAACAGTAATCATTTCTGTGGACCCCTTCCTGTGCCAAGTGCAAAGCCAGGTCTCACCTGGAGTCCCCTTAATTCAGATGGAGCTCTGTGAGCCCAGGGCCATCATTGTCCCCATTTTGCAGCTAAGGAGGCTGAGGTTGGAGAGGTTAAAGTCAATTATCTCAAGGCCACAGAGCTGACAAGCAGCGGAGCTGGGGTAAAAGGAAAAGAGCTGTCAGTGAGAAACTGAGGCAGGGTAGTAAAGTGGGGTGAGGGAGGTGGAGAGAGTGTGAGACTGAGCCCTGGTCCTGGATGGATGTGGCCACCTCAGAGAATGGGCTGGCACCCCCTTGGCTTGGCACACTCAGAGGAGGCGATGTCAGTGTGTGGATTCATGAGCATTGCAGACACATGTACCCATCCTCCAGTGTGCAGCACAGGCTTTTCTTGGCTAAGTACCCAAGGTTCAGCAAAACAAGTGAATGGCAGACAGACCTTTGGGACAATTCTCTAAGAATGTCATTTCTTGTCAGGCATGTAGTCTGTTACTTGGGAGGCTGAGATGGGAGAATTGCTTGAGCCCAGGAGTTTGCAGTTATCCTTGGCAACATTGTAAGACCCCATCTCTTACAAACTAAATAAATGACAGAAGAGAAAACAAATATTTCTGAAAACTAAGACTGTAGTTTCTAGGGCATCGGGGAGTTTGGCGTTCCGTTGGTAGCACACGTGCTTAGATCTGACATGGAAGTTTAGGGATCCATGCTCTTACAGACACCAAGAAACCCGAGGACGCTCCCCACCCTGATCCCATAGGCACAGAAGAGGTGTCTCCCAGCACCAGGGCAGCCATGGGAGGGTCACCAGGGAAACCCAGTGAAAGCAACACTAGCTCCCAAGTTCCCAGGTAGACTGGGGTTATTTGACAGATGCCTGCTGCAGCATTAAGAGAGGCTCTTCTGAGCTATGCAGAACATGGTCAGTGTCTCAGTCCATATTCTGTCACTGTAACAAAATACTGAGGCTATAATTAATAAAGGAATGTGGTTCATTTGGTGTGCAGTTTTGGAGGTGAAAAGTTCAAGAGCAAGGCCCTAGCACCTGCTCAGCTTCTGGTGAGGAAGGACACCATGGTGGTTGGCGACACAGGGTGGGAGCATGGGTGAGGGCGGTCAGCAGAGACGCACAGACGGTGCTGGCTACCTGGGTAACAGCCTTCCCATGCAGCAGCCAGTGTAGCCTCTCATCTCTCTACAGTCCCCACTCCTCTCTCCACTGCCACACTGGGGACCATACCTCAGTATGTGCTCTGGTGGGGACAAAACACATTCAAGCCACAGCAGCTGGCTGCTGCCACAGGGTGGAATTTGGTCCCAGTGCCCATACATCCCGAGCCATTTTTCCATGGGGCAGTAAACACTTGTCTCTTGAGGCCAAGTCTAGACTGTGACCCCAAGGGATGTTCAGAGAGTACTTATCCTGTCATCTGTGTAGCAGGTAACAGTCACAGCTGGTTATCAAACATCTCCTTGGTGTTACTTTCAAAATGACCAGTCTTACCTTTCTATATGTGGCTCCAAGTAGTACAAGAAATCAGTTAGATTCAGATTCTGGCAACTCAAGTTGAACTCAAGGAAAAATTTACAGTCAAGCTTCTATTTCAGTCTCGAAGGGGAGCTGTGGTAGAGCGTCAGGGCTGTGTCTGTTCATGCAGTGTGGCATCCGGGGGTAACAGATCAGGGTACCACAGTCCCATTCCCAGCTGAACGACACTCTCGCCTCAGACTTCCTAGGGTTCTACCCTCTGCAGCCCTTCCACAAGGCAATGCCATAGCTGTGCCAACTTGGCCACCACCCTCCACAGGTGCAACACACTTTAGCATGGCACTTATATAACAGGCAATTGACTGATGGCAAAGAACGCCTCCCTAGGACTTCCCCTTTCCTTGCCATTATGCAGCCACCTAAGTGAAGAGTTCTGGAAGATACTTAGGGACAGGGTGGGGCCGGAAGCCTTCATAGGAAAAACCACAGATAAGGAGCACAGATTTGTTGAAGAGTGGAGTGAGGCACCAGAGAAGAGAGAACCGGAGGAAAATGGGCATTGGAAATAAAGAAACAGGGTTTAGAAAGGCCTTGTTGGACTTTTTAAGATAGATGGGTAGGGTCGGGGATTTAGCTCAGTGGTTTCGCCTCCTGCTGTGCAAGCACAAGGACCTGAGTTCGATCCCCAGTACCAAAAAACCAAAAAAACAAAAAAAACCATAGATGGATGATGGGTGAGTGGATGGATGGATGGATGGATGGATGGATGGATGGATAGACAAGCAGATGAAGGAAGGAAGATAGGGCATAGTTTTAGTGTTTCTAGCACACACACAAGTGTGGAAAAGAGGACATGGGGCAAAGTGGTTTTAGAAAATGCATTTAAAATCTGCCTACATCTCACCTGAACCTTAGACCTGGCACACCAGGTACCTGTTGTGGCCCACATGGAGGAGCAATGCCAACTGTGCCGGTGGGGTAATGAGGCAACCCCAGCAATGGAATCAAATCTCCCACATAAAGACAAGGACCAGCATTGCCTAATCTGATTTCTTAGAAAAGACCTAAAGTCCAAATTCCAGACACCCTGCAGGGCAGAGCCAAGACATCTCTTTGCTACCGTGGCATTTATCACTTCTTCTCCTCTGCCTAGCAAACATTAAGGCAGCACAGACAGATGGCAGGTTGCTCAGAGGACACCAGGCTGTGCAGCCCCGCTCCATCCCCTGGGGGCCTGAGGTGGAGATGCCCCGGCAATGATTTCCAGGGGAAGCCCAGAGGGAGCCTGTAGTAGAAGATGTGAAGAGAATCCTCTATGACCCAGCAGGCTGCCTGCGCTGCAGTCCCTAAAAGGAGAAAAGGCAACAGGTGGCTTTTAAGAGCCCCAAAAGCAAAATCATACCAAGAGGAAATTAGAATGTTTTTCCATTAAAAAGTTTTTTGAGAAAATGTTTCTCCACGGCCCCCTTTGGCACCCTTCAGCAATTCCCAGGTGGGTTGTTTGGTGCTGTGAACTGCAGCCCTTCCTCACTAGGCTTTCCCACCATACACTGGAAGGCCTTGCCCTTGGGGTGTGATGCAGGCCTTTAAGGGACCCCCTTAACCTATTCAGCCTCGTGGTTGTGCTGTTAGTTGGTCTGTTTTTCTTGGCTTGCAGCATGGCCAGTGTCTGTTGGTCATCAGAGGCCACCAGTATCCACATACCTGTCGATAAAGCAGCTGGAACAACTAAGGGGGTGAGCTCGGCGACATGTAATCAATTGCCTAATGATTGGGCCATATCGACCGGAAATGGTTAATTCAGTCCCAGGAGCTGACCTTTCCCAGTGTTACTTAACAAAGGGTATGTTTGGAAAAGTGATGGGGGACATTAGTCCTCCTATGTAGGTTCTGAGACTTTGTGCATCATGTTTATCACAGCCGTATAGATGGGTTTTCTTGTGATGTTCACACTCAGATTCACAGAACCCACTTAAAAGTCAGCTGCAGGGCAGAGTGTGAAGGCGGTGTCAGCCTCCTGCCCCCGAAGCCTGGCAGGACACTGAGTTCATAAAACAGTGTCCGGTGAGTGACAGGGCAGAAGGGCACACAGTGACCACAGGGTCACTGAGGGAAATGACTAAGCATGAGCAAAAGGCTCCAAGAAAGCTGAGAGGCAAGGTGTCTCCATGGTGACACAGTGCAGACTGATCTGGAGAGGCCCGGGAAGGGCACCCAAAGCCTCCAGTGTTTTCTGGGGGCTCAGAGGAGGGAAAACCAGAAGACATGCTTGGCTTGGCACAGGCGGGCAAGGCCTGTTGTGAAAGAGAATTAAATGCCTCGAACCATACTAAAGGAGAAGCAAAGAGTCCAGGGAGTCCCATGCTGCCATGAGGCCTTCTTTGGCTTTGTTCTGTTCTGAGTGTCACCCCCATATCCAAGGAAAACACCCCAGCAGTAGTGGAGATATTGCAAAGGACTGAGGAAAGATTTGGAGCTGGACCAAGGCATGCCACAGCAACCCACAGAGAAGGGGAAATGTGGAAATGATCTCGCTACCCATGGGCTCAGGAAAGCTTGTTCCATAGGAGTTGCCAAAGCTGAGAAAGGCCGGAAAAAAAAAGAAATGGGACCAGGAAGAGGACGAGGAGGAGGAAGATGAGGAAGGTGAACTGGTTTCCCCAGTTCCTTTTTCAATTTCTACTTTAAAGCATGTACCCTTGAACTCATCTCACTTCTTATAAAGGTACAAATTGAAACATAAAGCTGTGTAAGATTTATTTTTAAACTGCACACTGTCTTTTTAAACTTAAATTAATTCTCAAATTAAGTTAAATGAAGACCATTTTTATCCATGGTCACCATGTTCTTACCCAACCATGTCTCCCAAAGATTTCTTTTTGTTTTCTTTTCATTTTTGTTTTTTGAGACAGGGTCTTGCTATGTAGTTTAGGTTGGCTTTGAACTCATGACCATCCTCCTGCCTTTGCCTCTTGAGTGCTAGGATCATAGGTGTGCGCCACCATGCCCAGCTTCTGAAGTAACCAGCCTGCTTTCTAAGTAATCAGCTATGCAGGTTCCTTAGTGATTCCAACTAGTCTTCTTTTTCTGAATATGAACTGGGAAAGAGGTTGATATTTTCTGTTATTTAATTTAATTTAAATTTATAATATTTATAGAAATACAAATTTCCCCAAAACTCACCTCTAGTGCTGATTGTGCCATGGCACTCTGTGGCCATGAGAAAGCAGCCCCTCTGCTTTGCAAGCTCAGTCTCGTACTTTCAATGCTTGAATTCATGACTTTTTTGGCGTATGATCATGCAAAAGCAAGGAGCACTCAATAGAAACTATGTTTCCAGCTTTGCGTTTTGTTCCTTTTCTAGCCTGGTGATCTGCAGCCTGATTCTCCCTCTGGGCAGCTCCAGGCCAGCCCACAGTCACCATGGAAACAGCCCCTCTATAGCGTCCTGCACTGCTCCTGGGGTGTGGGTAGGCGAGATGCATTCAAGGCACTTTCCACCTACAATGCTCTTGCCCATGTCTTAGTCCCTTTCCCATTGCTGGGACAAAATACTCCACACTCTATCCTTAAAAGGGGAGAGGTTTATTTGGCTTATAATTTCCAGTGGGTTCAGTCCGTGGTCAGCTGGTCCCAAGGCAGAAGCAGCATGGTTGAAGGGAATGGCAGAGGAAAGCTGCTCATGTCACAGTGGCCAGGAAGCAGAGAAAGAAGGGAGGAGCCAGGGACCAGAATCCACCCTTCCAAGCCATGGCCCCAGTGACCACCTCCAACCAGGCCCCGGAGGTCAATGGTACATTCAGCTGTGAACTCATCCATAGATGAATCCACCAATGAGTATAGCACCCCATGAACCAATCAGCTTCCATTCAGATAAGAATTTGAGGGAGACATTTTAGATCTAAACTATGACATCATATTCAAGGCATTTTTTTTTTCTATGAAGAGGATAGAAACAAAAGGAGTCTTCCATGGGGTGTAGTTTTAGATCTAAACTTTATTATTACAGTGAAACTTTTTTTTCTAAAATCCTTATATCAAAAGAAATGATCTTCATGTGACTCAGTACAATGATAAATTTGGTTAAATTCAGAGTTGTCTGAACATTGATGGTGAGGGCTGCCAGTTGCAGCTTTAGGTTGATCATAGGAGGCCCCAAGCCCCAACCCTGTCACCTGTCTTGAATAGGGGGAGGAGCAGCAGGTCGGAGCCATGGCTCTCCTATGCAGGGAGTGTGGGCCCTGAGGCCGGAGGTTGTGCCAGCCACCGTGGGGGCCCAGAGCTCAGAGTTCAGTCACATGTGTGTATGCTGTAGGAGCTCCTGGCGAGTTTGACACACAGTGTTCTGGTGTTGGGAGAATGTTTGGGAGCTAAACACTGGAAAGTGTCATGTTTTAAAATTATTTTATTAAAATTGTTACATACCCTTCATTTTCTTTAATAGAATTCAATTTCCTAAAAGGTTAATTTGCCAGGGGTTCGGAAGAAGGGGAGGAGAGAGTGAATGGGTGGGGACAGAGGGTTTCTTGGGGCACAAAACACTTCTATGTGACACTGTGACAGTGGACAGTCCATACTCATTCCTCAAACCCACAGGATGCACAACACCAAGAATGCGCCTTGTGCATTCTTAGTTAATAGTGTCCATTGGTAACAGGCCAGCAACTGCAAGGTGCACCCCAGCAGCATTAGGCGTTAATAATGGGAAACCATGAGAAGAGGTACCTGGAAATCCCACTTTCTGCTCAAGTTTTCTATAAACCTAAAACAGATCTAGAATGAAAGTCCATTAGCCTAAAAAGTTTAAGAATTTTGCCAGAAGCAAACAAGATCTCAGGAACCATGGAATGAGTTACAGACGGAGCCTCAGCTGTCAGGGCTGTGTGGGGAGTGACAGGACCACAGCATGGAGCAAAACACCAGGAAGCAACTGTCATTCTCACCGCCAGTCCAAGGGCAGCCAGGCAGCACCTTGAAAACCACCTCCAAAGTGACCAGATTCTTTGAGAAGTGAGAAAGAACCTTGAAAGTAGGCTTGTCCACTGGGTAGGTAACATTTTCTTACCTTCCTTTCCTGGCCTCCTAGGCCACCCAGTATCTGAGACCAACTGTACCAGTGGCAGCACCTCCCTGCCCTGCAGAGTCGCTGATTGCTGCCCACCTACTCTGGGCTGTGGAACACAGCAAACCAGCGGCGTGGAGGAAACTGCAGGTGATCCACCTATCGAGCACCTTCCTCCTAAGTTTTGTTCAGTTTACAATGTCGTCTGACCAGGGTTTCAGTTGGGATAGGATTTGCTCCCCAAGGGAGTCCTGCTTCTGAGGCTGAGACCCACCCTGGCTGAGGCTGCCCTGTTCACATTCAGCTTGTCCCTTTGGCCGGCCAGGAGGTCAAATTGTTGACCTTTTGTGGTTATCTTGACTTAGGGAAGAGCCAGAAGTCACACAGTGTCAGATCCAATGAATAAGGTGGATGAGGAGACAATGGCATGTTTTTAAGAGCCTACCTTTCTTTTTGATGGCACTCGGCAGCAGTATTCACTGTATTTTTGATCATATCTCAAAAAGACACAAAACAGGATTTCCAGAACTGCTGCAGAAAGAAGTGAGAATGATGGGATAAGTGTGTTGGAAGAGAGGGGGAGGATTTTGAGGTAGATTCATGGCAATGTGCCTTTTACTGTAATGAATTTTTAAAAATTTAAGCATACACAGTATTTTTTTAGTCACACTTCATCCATAAAAAATGGCTGTTGCAGTGAATTCTGCGAATGCTGGTACCAACAGTTTGCTTCAGAGACTGTCTTCTTCTAGACAAGATCCCCACATGTTTTGCCACTGGTGATGGTGGAGAGTATAAAAGTATAAGCAGGAGAAAACTGCAAGTTTCCCAGGTCACTGCAAACCAAATCACTCAGCAGGGTGGGAACAGGGGTCGTCAGATATGAGCGGCCCTTCTGCTGGGCATGGGGGTGCCCACAGCTGAGAGTTCCAAGCCAGCCAGAGAAAGCCCCGGCCACCCAGGCCCTGTTCAGAGTTGGAAGTGTTTTTGGAGAATTAAGGGCCACTTGCTCCTGCAGCAGCCTGTGTCGGACTCCATGGTGGGGACTCTGAGTCTGTGAGCATGAGGGTGGTAGCCCAGGGCAGGCAGCCATGTGGCCCTACAGGAAGTGCATTTCCTGAGAACTCCCTCTTTGAAGTGGATGGCAGGAGTGTCCCATGGATCACCTGGGCAGAGCTGTGTAGGTGCTGACCAGGAAGGCCACTGGACAGCCACTGGGCTATCCATGTGGAGCTGCACTGGTGCAGGGTAGAAGCAGAGAATGAGGTGAAGGAGTGGCTCTGGACCCCAAAACCAAAAGGGTGGGGGCATCTCAGCCATGGAGGGAGACAGACAGATCCAGAGGCCCACTGGCTCTCAGGTAGGAATGAAGATGTTTCCAGATGTGGAAGTCCACAGTTCTAGCTGTGCTGCAAGGCAAGAGTGTCCTGGAAGAGCTGGTCTGGGTGTCCAGACCAAAGCTGTCTGCATGGCTTTGGTCAAGAAGCTGCCATCAGGGAGGCTGTCCCAGTGTCACCCACAGTGACAGTCCCTCCTGGGGCAGCCCACCCTCCACTAACCCTCCTGCAGCTGGCTGGAGGTCGGCCAGGATGCCAGCTGGGCTCCCACAGCCCCACACCATGCACTCAGGCTTGCCATGGGGTAACCCCCCAGAGCCAAGGCGGGGAGCACTGTGGCCTCAGGGAAATGGGGGTCAGCTGAACCCCAACTTCCACACTTTTTTCCCTTTGGTCACAAAGATACCCTCCCTTTCTTACTGCTGCCACCTCGGAGCATGCAGCAGGGTTTTACCACCCATTTAGTTGGCAGAATCATATTCCATAGGTGTGAACGGCAGCTCAGTTCTCTACTCCTTCAGTGAACATTACAGGTTGCCAGGGTAAACACTGTGACTATCCACCTTCACCTTCCTGAACTCACCTCCAGCTGGTCTATCACCATCCCCCTGCCAAGCCACCCAGGTGCCTGCCTGCCCCTGTGTGTCTGGCCTTGCTCTTCCCTCCCCACACATCCCCATGGCCTGTGCTCTCCCCATGCCTGGGTCTCTGCTCACTCAGTGGACACCCCAATCAGAGCCCTTCCTGCCTCTTCTTCCCCAGCAATTGGGACCCGATCTCCTGTCATCACCTAACAAGCTGCCTATTCTTCGGCACCCCAGGCCCACGAGCTCCATGGGACAGGGATGTTGTCCTGGTCCCTGCTATTGCTGCAGTCCCCAGGCAGTAGGATTGGTGAGGCTAATAGCTGGATGGACCCCAGGCAGCCATTAATCAGGAAGTAAGTAATCAAGATCCAGTTCTGATCAAGTGCCTAGGGGACACACTGACCCATCCAGCTGGTGACAGCTGATCCTAACACACACTTGTCACAATATTCCTCTTCTATTGCCTCAATGACTTTTGGGACTTTCACCCCTGTCCTTGGCTTTAACTCTTGGGAAAAAGAAGGAGCCCATCTGCCCAGGGCTCTGATTTTCCTTCCCCTGTGCTAACACATGGCCTCCATCAGCAATAGGAAGAGCGACTCATGTCCAGATCCAGGCAGTGCCTTGGACCCTGAAGTTTCCTGTTCCAAGACACTCGGCGCTAAAATAAAGAAAATGTAAAATGTCCATAAATGTTCTTGATTATTATTGCGAGAACACAACAGATTCTCAGCAGTCTCCTGTACACAACGGACAGCCATGTTGTTCTCACTTATTCAGCTTTCAGTGAAAAGTTAGCAAAAGAGCAGCCCCCCTAAAACAGACTCAATTAAGCATCGGCACAACCGTGCAAGGACCATGTTGCGACACCGAGGTGCCCTGTTTTTCTGGCCATTATTCATCCAGAAACCTTAATGATGAGCAACCTTTGTGTTATTGTCTACCCAAATTTAATTTGTTTATGCAGCAGTTCAGTTAATCCTGCAATCTGCTTTGCTCAAATGAGGGCAGATAATGGAGACACCGTTCTTTACAAGTCTTCAGGCTTTTAAATTCTGATAAAATCAGGGTTCTTCACTGGGTCTTGCCCCAGCTCTGAATTAAAGCACTTTAAATGTAATTATGGAACCTGGCCTTACATCAGGAACATCCATTTAAAAAATTGATTGGCCAGGCTGTTCCACGAGGCACTTTATGAGCAAACGATTGCAGAGGACCCAGAACTGTAATTTATCAAGGCAAAAAAGCAGGTAAATACTTTATTAGCGGTAATGAGAGGGCTGCCAGCTAACTGCACCTCTTCCTCCCCCACCAGCTACTTCACGGAGCCCTGGTGCATGGCCCTGCTCCACGATCGCTTTATCGACCTCAGGAAGGAGCTGCGCCAGGTCCTGGCCTCTGAGCAGGTGAGAGTGATTAATGGACTGCGGTTGTTCCTCGCAAATCAGAGCGGTCGATTGCTGTTGATCATTTGGCCTTGCCCCTCCATTCCCATTTTATGGCTTCACTTTCTAAACCAAATGTCCCAAAAACAGACTGTGGAGTATGGGATGTTGATAAAATTTTGGGGAAAGTGATTTTACTTAAATTCCTTTTATAAGGCAACAGGTTTCTTTTTCCTCTTTACAAGTGGCAGTATTTTCACAACCAGCCTACAGCACTGGCTGGAAACTGGGTGTGCACTGTGTGCCTGCCCTGGAGCACAAAGGTGTCGTTCCTTTGGTTTCTGCCTGCAGTGGCCCAACGTCGTGCACCTATTGTTTTGAAGATGTCAAGAGAACTCATTCCTATGGTAAAACACACTTGTTCATTTTTGTTTTTTCCCATCATGGTACTGGGAATCAATCTCAGGGCCTTCATACTGAGCTACATCCCCAGAACATTTCCTATTTTTTATTTGGAGAAAGGCTCCCACTAAGTCGATAAATTGCCCAAGCTGGCTCAAATTTGTGATCCTCCTGCCTCAGCCTCCCAGAGTGCTGGTATTACAGGTGTGCGCCACCATGCCTGGTTTAGAACACACTCCTTTTATAACTGACACTTCTTTTTCAAAGCAATACAGAATTCATCAGAAGTTAGGCTAGTATCCCAAAGGCTCTAAGCTCAGCAAGAACTAGAACTCTGCAATGTAGAGGGAGATATCTGTGGAACTTTATTTCTTCCAATAGCAGAGCCCTTAGCCCAGCTGTGGAGAGCAGAGGCCTGTGCTCAAAGGGCGGTGGGTTCTGGGCCTAGGGCATGCCTCCTTTCACACACTGGACCTGGCCCCGTTACATCTCACCTCACCCTGATGTCTCAATAGGCGACTCCTGTGTCACCGCTGTTGCTTTCACTTGTGGGTGCCCACAGCTGTGGGCTCCAGGTGGGGGACCAACAGTGGATGGCACATACAGGATCCTGTCTCCAGTGAGTCCCCAAGCATTCTGGTGCAGCACATACCCTCGCTGACACTAGCAGAGCCTTGCAGTGGGTGACAGCCTCACTGTTCCTATCCCAACCTCACCATGAAGAAACCAGGTTCAGAGATGTTAAATACCCCACATAGGTCACACAGCTGCTCAAGGTCACAAGCTTCAAACCTAAGATCCCCTCATCCCCAATGGGAACAGGGTCCTGAGCCAGATGGACCAAACTGCAGGCCTCAGTGCCCGCTGCTCCTGGGCTTCTCCTGAGGTGATGCAGAGCTTCAAAGTTAGAGCCAAACAGGTAAATGGGGGCCCCACAGCCACATGCAAAAGTCAAATGCTGCTAAATGGCTCAAACTGAGAAGTTCACACAGGTCCCTCAAGACTCCCAAGGATGCCACCATCCAGGCGTCTGCCAACCCTACAGGAAATGCAGTATTTTTTCCAGGCTACTTTACATTTCATTTGCTACACTTGGCTAGACACATTTAGACACATTAGCTGTTCTTCTAGTCTAAAAAATGCTTGCTGTGTTTGTGGAAAAGCCATTGACTGACCTTTGTTGAAAGTAAAATATAAAAGTATATGTTTCCCTTTTCAATTTCTTTTTTTACATTATTATTTTTTATTATGTCTCAACATCTGTTTTTTATTAGTATGTTTGAGATATGTAATGAATACTTAAATTGTGGATATTTGGTACATGTGTATAACATCTTAATTCATTTTACGTTCCCTTCCTCTCCACCTCCTAGACCCCTTCCCATTTGTAAAAAATCTATCTCCTCGTTTCCTTTTAACTACCTTTTATTTTGTTCTTTAATTTGTTTATACTTTGGGTTTGTCATATAAGAGTAGTATACTTAAACATGTGTGTCTTATTTATTTCATTTAACACTATGTTCTCAAGTTGCATCCATTTACCTATGAAAGCCTCAAATTTATCTTTATGGCAGAGTAGTACTCCATTGTGCATAAATACCACATTTTCTTTATTCACTCTTCAGTTGATGGACATACAGACTGTTTCCAAGATTTAGTGTTATGAATTGTGCTGCTATGAACATGGGTATGAGTACATCACTGTAATATGGTGTCTAACTGGTTGAGAAAGGTACCTAGAAGGGGAATAGCTGGGTCAAATTGAATTTCTACTTTTGGTTTTTTGAGGCATCTTCTGATTTCCATAGTGGTTGTACTAGTTTACACTTCCACCAACAGTAGAAGCATTCCTTTTTCCCTGAAGCCTCACCAGCGTTTGTTATTATTTGATTTCCTGTTGACTATTCCTTCTGAGGTAAGGTGGAACCTCAGAATTGTTTTAATTTGCATCTCTCTAATGGCCCAAAATGCTGAACATTTTTAAAAATGTATTTCTGGGCCATGAAATGCCACATGTGCATAGAACCTACACGCCCTTCTGCATAATTTGTTTGTTTGTTTTGGTACTGGAGATTGAACTCGGGTCCTTGCACTTGTGAGGCAGGCAGCAGAACCACTGAGCTAAATCCCCGGCCCCTTTCTGCATAGTTTATGTCATCTCGAGATTGCTTATGATACGTAGGTCAATTAAATAAAGAACGGATATGCTGTATTGATCATGGGATAATGACAAGAACAAGTCTGTACATGTTTAGTATACAGATGAGACAGACTTTTTTCCAAATATTCTCAACTGATAGCTAGTTGAGCCCCCAGTGTGGAACCGTGGAGTGGCTGTGAAGGGCGCTTATGTGGGTCAGGGATGCCACAGGCCCAACAGGTCCCTGCCTGTCATCCTGGGCTGTGAGGAGGTCGGTGCAGGTGGAAATCAGAACCAGAGGTCCAGACCCAGTGCTCCCTGAGCTCTACTCAACTCCTTGCATACCTTCTCTCCTTTCAAGACGGCTTAAGACCCAGGTGCTGAAGACTACAAAACATAACTGAAGTTACAGAAAGGAAGAAATTGAAAAACATCTCTGCTTCTGGACTTACAGACTTCCTACTGTTCAGAGTGCAGTACCACCCAAAGCAATCTACAGATGCAGTGCAATCCTATTCAACTCCTGAGACATCCCTTAGAGGAAGCGGCAGAGTTCATATGGAAATGCATGGAACTCCAAACAGCCAAGTCTATCTTGGGGAAGGAAGAAGCTTAAAAGTCTCACCCTCTCTGATTTCAAAACTTGCTACAAAGCAATAGTGACGAGATAGGGCAGTGCTTGCCTACCATAGATGTGTAGATCAACAGAATAAAAGTAGGAGTTCACATGAACTGCTTTTACATGAAAAGAGGCACAACATCTTCAGTTATTAGGGAAATAAAAATCAGGACCACAGGTGTCACTCCATACCCACTGGGATAGGTATAGTGAGAATAAAAGAAAGGAATCTGTGTTATTGAGGATGTGGAAAAATAGAATCTTCACAAGTGCTATGGACATATAAACTTGTACAGCTGTCATGGAAAATAGTTTGATGGTTCCACAATAAGCTACACAGAGAATTACCCTATGGCTGAACAATTGTGCTCCTGGGTATATATCCCAAAGAACTGAAAGAGGTATTAAAATGAATACTTGCACATAAGGAAACAACCCACATGTCCGTCAATCAATCAATGGCTATACAAAAGTAGTCTACAAGTTCATACAATGGAATAATATTGAGCTCTGAAAAAGAAATGAATTACTACCATGTTCTACAAAGTGTGTGAAACTCAAAACTTTATTCTAGAAGGACAAAATCCACATGGTCATCTCAATAAATGAAGAGGAAGCATTTGACAAAATGAATATTCTTGTATGATTGAAAAACTTTCAACAAATAATGATATAGAAGAAATAACCATGTATGACAAGCCCTCAGGTAACATCATACCAATGGTAAAAAGCTTAAGCATTTCCTCTAAGACCAGGAAAAACACATGGATGCTCACTCTTCCCACTTCTGTTAAATACAGTACTGGAAATCCTTGCCAAAGCAGTTAGGTGAGAAAAAGAAATAAAAGGCATCCAAATGGGAAAGGAAGAAGCTTGCCGAAGACATGATCTTATTTAAAAAAAACTAAAGACTATGGAAAAAAACTGGAAAAATGAGGGCTGGGACTATTGTTCAGCAGTAGAGCCCTTGCCTAGTGTGTGTAAGGCCTTGGGTTCCATCACCGGCAACACACACACACACACACACACACACACACACACACACACACACACAGCTTACAAAAGCTGCAGGACACAAAATCAACATGCAAAGCCAACCAGTGTTTCCATACACTAATAATGATCATCTGAAAAAAGAAATTAGGAAAACAACCCCATTTACAATAACATAAAGGATGTGTTGGAGTCATTTACTAAGGAGTCAAGAGATCCAGGTACTGAAACCGATTTGAGGAAAGCAGGTGCCAGGGACCTCGCAGACCCTGCTCCTGCTTCTGTGAAGTTGGAAACCACAAAGCCCCCTCTCTTCCAGCCTCCAGCCCCTCCTGTCCCTCTGCAGTCCACACTCCAAACCGTCTTCCCCCCATGCCCTGCCCAAAGGGCTGGCCGATGCCGTTCTGCATGGTGAGCACCTTATTCCCCACCACTGTGGGCCCCTGACCTTCAGAATTGTCCCCTGCTGTGGGGCCACTATCGATGGTGTGGCCAATGTGTATCTGGGGCCTCCTGCCCCTTATGTCTCTGGGCTCCTGTTTCAGGTGACTCCATCCACAGGTTGGCCAGGAGAAGTGCAGGGTTCCAACCATCCAGAGAAGACACAGCCAGCACTGCAACCCCACCCTTTTCTGGACGCCAGGGAAGCTACTGGGTAAGAACCCAAACTCTTCCCAAGCACTTCTGACCATGCAGACCCCAGCCCTATAACTTCCCAGATGAGGTGAGGCCATCAAGAGGACCACAGCCACTTGACCATGCAGGGTTTGCTTGAAAGCTCATCTTCGAGCAGATTTGGATCTGTAGGGCCCAGTGGCTTTGAGGGACCATCATGGAGTCCTCTCCAAGCCATGGATGGAATGAAAT